TCAAACGGGTGGCGGGGCGGGGGAGTATACCCCCGCCCTCGCCCCGTTTCTAAGCGGGGGAAAAAATTCCACCCCGCCCCAACCTCCATCCCAATGACCCCCCGCGGGTGCCCGCCCCCGTTGCTATCCCTACTCCTTTATTAATGTTTTTCATCCTATCAATACTTATACTTGACTTGATTTTATAATTTTACCTTATATCTCTCTTATTCATATTCTTCATATTATACAAAATGATTATTGTCGTGCTAAAGAGTTCTTGTCCTTTCTCAAAAGGAAGAAATATAAAATAGGAGTTTTATCATGAAACTAGGGCCTATTTGGAACCTAAGTTTTTCGACGAGTGTTTTTTTAACAACTTATTGAACAATTTTAGTTACAAAAATTTCAAAAAACATCTTTAAAGTCATTAAAATACACACCTCAAATACTTAAAAACACATAAAAAAATATTTTCTTCTCCCTCCTCTCCTCTCTCCATCTCAACCCACCACCATCACAGTTGATGCCCAGCGTCATCATTGCTAGGTGCTTCTTTGTTTTTCTTTCTTTCTCCCTCCCTCCCTCTCCTCCTCCCTTTTTCCCCTTCTTCTCCCTCCCTCCTCCTTTTCTCTTCCCCCTTCTCTTTCCCCTTCATACTCGAAAGGCAAGGTGAGGGAAAGGTAGTGGCAGGAGAAAAGGCGAAGGAGAGAGCGAGAGAGAGAAAGATTGAAAAAAAAAGAGGTGATGCTGACTGTGCCGGCTGCGGCTATGGTGGCAGCTGACGACACTGACTAAAGCAGTGATAATGGCAAGGAGAAAGATGAAAAGAAGAAAGAATAAAAAAAGAAAAACTTTCTACAACTTCTATATTAAGTTACAATAAAATTTTATACAAACACAAAAAAGTCACCATTCAAATGGGCCTGTGCTTCTTTGTAGGTTTTCATTCTTACCTATCAAAACAAAGTGGTAAGCACGTGTCTGTTTTCTTATAATAAAACCTGATTAAAATTTATAAAATATATATAATAAAATCAAGACATGAACCCAAAGGCAAAGTTAATACATTAAAAGTATTGTGAATCTAGTTTTGCAGATAAGAGCACTTAATCTAAAATAAAGGATAAAATTGATGAAGGATCAATTTTTAAGGCTATACATACAATTAAGTATCATCAATTTTTTCTAATCATAAATTAAAAAAAAAAAAAACTAGCTCCACCCTCTTTTCTTAATTTTTTTTTTGAAATAATTGCTTATGTCATTGTAAGGGTATTTTCGGGACGTTGAAATGAATTTAAGATGCACCCATTTAATTTCCCTCTCTTAATTAAGAATATGGGAAGTTTTTGATGTTATGTAACAAATATGAGGGAAAGTCCCTAGTATTCTGAAAGCAAAAGGAGACATCCCTTAAAAAATTAGAGGGAAAATTACTATAATTCTTTTAATATTACACTTAATTTCTTCTAATTATTTGTTAAATGAGAAATAAATCACGCAAAACTCCAGGATCACTAAGTGACTTTTTCTTTTTTGAGGAAAAAAATGTCAATCTGGAATTAAAAATGTTGTAATGGTAACTCTACTAATTGACGCACAGTGCAAATTTAATGATGTGTGTGTGTGTGTTTTTTTTTTAAAGATACATTTCTCGCTCTTTTAGGATTTCAAAAAATTTCTTGTTTAAGTTACCTCTTTCAGAAAAAAACTAAAAGTTAGTGCTATTGTCAGAACTCTCAAATTTTATGTCACAGCAATTTTTGATAAAATGCCAACATTATTCTTCTCAACCCAAATCAGATGCCATGACAAAAACAAAACAATGTGAGAAAGATAGTCTTGTCTCCGCCCCCCCCCCCCCCCCCCCCAAATACAATAGAATCTATTTTAAACATACTCTTGCTCTATACTAGGGAAAGGAAAATTTAAAGGGATCCGAGAATTGTGACCAAAATTCTGTCCAAGTCGATGCCTCCCCAGCCACTTGTTTTTGGCTGGAAACAAATTAATTATGGAGTTATTGTTTCAATAGCTTGTATAGTACGTAATGACAAATTTAAGTGCGGAAAATGTTATTCACACTTCAAATTTGTTAATTAGACTCCTATTATCATTCTAATTATATGGTTATCATTTATTAGACTATATAATAAATAAGAGTGCACCTAACAAAAAATTGAGCACAAATAACATTTTCCATCCATGCATGAAGTAACTTCACTTTACACCCCTTAAACTTGTACCACTTTTCACTTTGCACTGTAAATTTCAATTTTGTGCACCTTGCACCCCCAAACTCTCAACTTTAGACATTTTCACCTTAAACTCTCATACTTGTCATATTTAAGCCCAATCAATGACAATATGTTAGCAAAATCAATGGCATAGATCCTACAAATCAATGATAATTTATTGAAATGGTCAAAATGAGCTAAGGAATTTTTTGTAGAACAAAGTAATACATTTTTATAAATTTGCACTATATAAAAAGTTTCCTTAGCTCATTTTGGTCACAATTCAATAAATTATCATTGAATTGTAGGATCTATACCATTGACTTTGCTAACATTGTCGTTGATTGAACTAAAATATGACAATTTTGAGAGTTTAGGGTGCAAAATATCTAAAGTTGAGAGTTTGGAGTGCAAAGTGCCCAAAATTGAAATTTATGGTGCAAAGTGAAAAGGTTGTACAAGTTTAAGGGTGTAAAGTGAAGTTAGTTCAAGCATTAATTGTTATCCCAATAATTAGTGAGACCCTAGTAATGAGACTAATTCAATGTGGTTCTCTCCACAATCTACTACTATCAGGTACAATATTCAAATCTTGAACTTGATATTAAAATGTTATCCCAATAATTAGTAAGACCCTAGTAATGAGACTAATTCAATGTGGTTCTCTCCACAATCTACTACTATCAGGTACAATATTCAAATCTTGAACTTGACATTAAAAAAGATTTTAAACCTCTCCTAACTACGGGCGAACCCCAACGGTTTATGATTATCGGTTGATAGTATATAAAAGCAATAATAGTATGCCAATTAATTTTGACACCAGTGAAAATAGATTTTCACCAAACATGTTTTAACTTGTAATTGTGCCAAAAAATGTGTTTTCACTTATAACAACTCATAAAATTAATATCTTTTTTTAATAGTATGCCATGATTTTGTGTTTTCTCTTTTCTTTATCCTTATTTGATTTTTTTTTCTCGGTTGTGTTTTCTGCTAGTACTCTTTTTGTATTAAGCATATTATCTCGCTCGTGTAACTTTTTTTTAGCTCATTATACATATAATTTTTTTTAGTAGGGTATCACATATTTATGTACTAAAATACCCTTTCTTTCACTTTTGCGCTATATCCACGCAAGATCCACCCCCATCATGCGGAGTGAATATTTTGAAGAATTAAATTGTTGAACTGCCTAGACTGATGAGGGTAAAAATGTCAAAATGATTCTCATTTTCTATTTTTTCTTTTTAAAATTTTTTTTCTTTCTTCTTACATGCCCCTTTTTGCCTTCCTTTGATTCCAGCCCGAACTCAAGCCCAATAAGGCCTACACCTCCACAATATTATGAGATAATAGATAGACAGAGAATAAGAAGTTAGGAAAAAGGAAAAGAAAAAAAAAATCGTATTTGACCAATTTACCACCATAACACTACATGCCTTTCCACAAGAATGGAATATGATAACTAATAGCAAATTTATGGTGTGATCATTTCACAAGTTCAAAATTATGTTATGGAAATTGAAACATAAAATAATTATAAATGTATACTAGAATTTAGAATAAACAATTTATTCATCCGCAATTATTGTGTTATCATTGTGTTAGTGTCTTTATTCAGGATTATGGACCTTCATCCCTATGAACATGAGTACTCCACTTACCTTTGAGAAGAAAAACAATAGTGGACAGGACATAACACAACAAAACATAACCACAGGCCATACCTCAGCTGATCAATGTTTGTCATCCTTCCAGGAAGTATGAATTAGTTTGCCTTTGCCATACTTCTGTTAACCACATCTTAATCCATATTTTGTACTCACTAGAATTCTGCTATGCCTAATGAAATTTATGGCTGTTCCACCACCAGAAAATCTTGAGAAATGCTTACTGAATGACCAAAGACTAGTGAAATTCAACAAATATCTATATTAGCATTAACTTTTACAACAGGGATGCCAAAGCTGTGGTCCTAGGCATGACAAGCAGTTGGAGATTTCACAGAAAAGTGAGCTATTTTGGACAGATATATAAAGTTTAAAATTTGAATTGACAGGGTCAGTTTGACATTGGTTAAAAAACAATGAGGGTTTAAGCAGAAGAAACCGATTTTGCATCCATAACATACAATTCTATCTCAAAAATATCAAAATAGCACCAAAAGTTGGTAAACAAATACTCTTATAATCTAAGATTCTAAATCATCTTCCACCAGATTTGATGAATAACAAATCTAGTGACAAAGAATACCCTTCACATAACCAAAAAGAACCTTAATGTTGCACCAATATACTTCACTAAGCTTTTCACCAAAATATCTGTATTACCATAACACCATAGTGACAGAGATAATACTAAGAGCTGATATATAGTACACAGGTTTTATCAGCACAGAGTACATGGTAAGAATTACAGTCAAACTTTTTTTTTCCCTCTCTTTAGAGTGAAATTCAATGTCAAATTGTCAATGGAGCATCAAGGACAAACTGTCTCACCTTTTTGTTTAGCAACCCTAGCTCAACTGTATGGATGTTGAGCATTTGGACGTGCAGCATATGGTGTGGATCTAAATATTCAAGATATGCTAATGGAGCATCTACACAAAACCTTCATGCCAGTTGAAAACATTCTTCTAATGGAACACCAAAACTTTTTCCTCAGTAGATTCGAACAAGAAAGAAAAGTTTTCTGCCATTGACAGTGTTAACTGTATGGTCCAACTGAGGCAGCATTTAGCATCAGCCCATTATTCATCATCTGCAAGATATTGAAGCATGTTAAAAAAAGGAAACTCAAAATATCAGATCTCTAAATCATTGATCGACAAGCAAAGGGCTCAAATGAAGCATCGCCTACCCAAAAGGGCCAAAAAAGTTTGGTGGTTGTTTTGTGTTGGGGGGGGTGGGTGTTTGCAATTTCAGTATACTTGTAAATTTCCCTTCAACTAACTTGACAGCAAATTTGCATCCAAATAACCAAAATATCTTCAGGAACACTTAAACTGAATCCCTCTTTCTTGTTTCCGTCTGAAGTAGGAAGTTATGGGGGCTGGGAGGAATTTAACTTAATGCTAAATCTGCTGCACTCAAAAGCCTAAGTATCGGGTTCAGGAAACATAACTGTAATAAACTTATGTGATAATGCAAAATATGTCATGTAAAGCTACCGTGATCACCCATAGAATAAGTTATTGTAAATTATTTTATGTGATAATGAAAATTGTCATACATTATGATCATTATACAAGAACAATCCATCGTTGGTAGATGGAGGCCAACTTTTCTCATACAGATGTGTGAATGGAAGGTGCATTGGCTTGATTGCAGTGTAAGAAATGCCAATAGACTAGCAAGCCTATAGTCGACCGCAGAGTACTTTCGTTTGGTGTTGGCAACAACCAGATTGTGGGAAAGTGTGGGACATAGATGTGAATGTTTCCCTATAGACACAATCTCAAGAGACTAATAACAGGGAAAGGGATTGAGCTTGACACAGCTCCCAATACAGGAGGCCCCAAGGCAAAACTTCTATTGATTATAACGTAATCGACGGTGTGAAAATATTGGCAGAATGTGCTGAAACAGTTGTACATTTCAATATTTCTTAATATTAAGAAGCTGGCATGCCTCTCCAAAACATTTCACATCTGGTCTTTTGCCTTAGCAAAATAGCCCCAAAGAATCGAGGTGTGAGCAACAAAAATATTCTCTACAGCCTTGTCGTAGAGGATATACAGGTTATTAAATAGTAAAGTTTGAAGTTCAACGAGCTAAAAGTTCTTAGATGTAAGATTATTAGCTCATTGTCCTTCTATAAGGAGTGAACAAGAAAGTGAAACTTGAAAATGAATATAAACACAAGTGCTTAATCAAATGAAAATGCGGTGATGTAAATATGTACCTTTAGAGCTACATTCACGAAGACGGGCAAGGGCAACTGCAACCCTAGCACCAATGCTCGCATTATTTTTTACAAGTGCAATATCGAGGACTCCATTAAGGATAGTTGCAAAAGTAAAACACTACCGTCTGTCTGATCTATGCAATCCCATCATTCCAGCTAAAACTAATAACAAAAGAAATTTTGATGACAGTAACATCAACTCCAACCACACCACCCCTCCTCCCAAACCAAAAAAAAAAAGCCAAATCCACAAGAAAAAGGGAAAAGAATAGCTCAAAACTCCACCCCTATCCAATAATCAAGTAGGATACTGGCAGCAAGAGACGCTCCTCCAGTTAGCTCATTTACTCTAGCAAGCAAGAATGGAGTTTCAGCGTTTCCAATTATGCTCTTCTCCCTGTAGTTACAGCTCAAAAAAATATCAGTTTCTACTGTGTTTCTTTTACATCTTTGGCAGGTATGTCAGTCAAATAAGATGCATCCAAGAAAACTGTAGGATGACCCAGTAAGCAATGTGATAAATATAGTGAAGAAAACAACAACCTAGCTTCTTGAATAGCCCTTTGGATTGCAGACTCAATCAGGTTTCCTGAAGCTGAGTGTTCTCGTGGAATAGGGACAGCTATCAAAATTCCTGTCTTTAGATTCAGTTTTGTATTTGCATCTGTCAGTTAAAGTGACAAAAGAAATTAAAAGAATGATAGGCTGACATATAATGTTGACCATTATAGTGGGCGAAACAGGGAAAAATTTGAAGCTGCACATAACTCACCAATTACACAAGCACAATCTTCAGGAGTATCAACTCGGCAAGGTGCCTGCATAGTTTACGTTTATATCACAGATCATAAAAGAGAAGTTCAGTAATGAAAAGGCAGGATGTGATAATAATTCAATTTGCTCCCTCTTTATTAGTTAAATTCCTATCACGCCCTTACGACAAAGTTTCCCATTTTCTAATCCTCTGTTAGTCATGTATAACATACATATACCTGATAAATGTGTAAAAACTTTCAGTCATGTAAAATTCTTCTTGGAAGGTAAAAATAAACATAAATGCATTATGTCCGAAGCAGCTTTTATCCTAGAATAGAAATACAATACTCGTAACCAAAATGTGCACATTTTCAATCGATACTCTCAGAAATAGAACTTCCAAGCTAATATAATGATGAAGAAATGTAAGAGGAAATATAGAAAATAGTTCCTGCAACTTGATTGATGAACACTGACTCAGTCATTTATCAATATTTTAGTTGAATCTTAGCTTTTTAAGTTCTATGTTAACACAGCCATCCCAACGTCACTATGAGCGCAGTTAATGTATAAACTTGGAACAGTGACAACTGGATATAAACAATTATATGCAAAGACCATTTTCTCTTTTTTACCAACTTCTCCACCTCTTCTTGTTACTCATGGTTTTGACCCTCAGAGAAAGGTTTACCAATCTTCAATATCCACAGACCATATTACCAACAACAATCAATCAGCCATGGAAAAAGTCATATCCAGAAGAAACCATTAGCTGTATGTGCACGATTTTGGGAATGAAAAACTGGAAGCTCACGGCTTCTCAACCACCAGACTACAAATACACTATTAGCACACTAGTGGACCACTGAAAAGATTTTGGTCAAGAGCTATAACAAAAGGGCTATATATACAGATGCTAGAGACAAAATGCCACATTATAAAGAACATGCACAAGGAAACAGTTTTCAATGTGCTCACTGACTTCCGAGCCACACAAAAGTGACACTAACACAGAGAAATGCCAGATCTCAGACAGATGGAAGGGTGGCAAACAAGAGGAGAAAAAGAAGGTACAAGGAGATTGATAGTGTGGTTGGGTGGTGACATCAGACTTGAAGGTACCGCACAGAGGAATTGAAATAGGGGGAGGGACATAAGAGGCATATGCACATGGTGTAGAAAGGAAGAGAACAAATAAGGAAATGTAAAGGGCTGTGGCATTTAGGAGCAGCATAAAGAGGAGGAAAGTGGAAGTGTTGTGGCAGAATGGGAAGCACAGATTTTCTGTGAGAGAAGGGTTATTTCCAGCAGCTATGGTCATGGTTAGAAAGGACATGAGAGGGTAGTATAAGGCATCTTTGACCCAGGGGACTTTTAGGAACAAGAATAGACAGCGACTTGGTCGTGAATTATTTGACCATTCTAGAAGATTATGCTATTACTGATAGAATTTCTTTTCACCTAAGGGCTACGGAGGACATTTGGCCAGAGCTAGGGGTTCAAATATCATTTAGACTTTATATGCTTGTGCAAAATCAAATTGCTGCATGTGTTGTAAGATATCTAAGGGTGACATACAGATTAGAAAATATATACAAATTGTGTATGCTACAATCTTTGAAAGGAATCTGAACCTTACAGCCACTGCTTTCTGTGAAGAAGGCAGGGAATTCATCAGTCCCATAAGCTGCAACACACACTCCCTGAGTTTCCTGTAGTTTCAAATGGAAGTATGAGAATTACATGGTGCTTTTGTGAAATCACTTGCAATGCTGCTTCAAGGGAAAAGCCAGTTACCAGATACTCAATTGTCCTTGGAATATCTAATATTGACTTTACACCAGCAGAGATTACTGCTACTGGAGTCCTTCCAAGCTCAGTAAGATCTGAAGATATATCCATCGCTGCATAGACAACCATAACCACATAAATATTGACGTTCTATTTCATCCCTGCCATTAAATTTTGACGCATTTGATGTTTTCCCTGCTGATGAACCTACCCAACTCTTTATAGTCAGCATGAAAAATACAAGGTTACACACCTTTTTTTTTCCGCAATACACATGCTTAGCAGTGATTCACAGCTTTTAGATTACTAGTTGCCATTGATTGAGCTTTATTTGAACTCTTATCCCAGAATTCTCTTAAGAGTCTACACAGACAATTTGCATATAGGACATTATCCTATTTGCAAATATACAATCAGATTATCTTTGTTTTCAATTTCGTTGCTGAATTTGAAGAAAGCAAATGAATATGAGTTGTACTTAACTTTTGTAAGGCACTTTCCTCTACTCTCTTTTTCTCTTCCTTGTTCGCAGTCTGCATCTTTACTATTTTTCTGAAACACTTTTCTGTATAAAATTTGCTCCATTGAGAAACTTCCAGTCTGTTATCCAAACAGTGAAGCTAGTTATCTCTATTTTCATTTTATTAGCCCAAAAACACCTAAACCTCAATCATTTCTATCACTATTACAGAAATCCCAAAAGTATGGTTACTCACTACCTAGAGCAATACTGAAAAGAGATTTACTTGGGTAACTGAATCCTACCACCCTACCTGCTAACTGTTTTAATTAGCAACCATTGATGTAATAATTTTTTCCCGTAAGGCTAGTGTTTCTAGAGCATTTTCCCAGATGATGCCACAAGACGAATTTACCTATTGAATCATTTCATATCACATCTTTATGCACAGACTTAACAAGTTCAGTTGTCTGGATAATGTTGAATTCAGTAGTTTTGAGCAATCAGCCATCGGAGTATCCAGAAACATAGCTGTACAGCTCCTCTGTCCTTTATTATAACCGCTAATAATGCCATGTGAGAACCTGAATGTTAACCCAAAAAGAGCTTTTAACTGTTCCTCACCATAGACTTGTCCAGGTATGATATACTTGCCAACCATATTACCCACAGATCTGAATTCCTCACTTTAACATCTAGCTGGTCAAGATTGACTAAATTCTCACACCCTCGATTTCGAAACCAATTCAGAGACGCATTGGATTAAACCTTTTCATGTCTCAAACATGAGAAAGTTATCCATTTGATTCTTGGTTTCTTCTGCCTGTTTTTCCAGAAGAGTAAGCCCCAAACTAGCATACAGGTGGAGCAATTTATGCTCTTACAGAAAGCAACAAACTTCAATTTGCACCATATTTTTAAATAAAGAAGAAAGATAGGAGGAAAAAGACACCCTGTGTAGCACTAAAATGCAGATGATGATAAGCTTACTATTTTCTCCATGCTTGTGCACTCCTCCAATACCCCCAGTAACAAATATTGGAATGCCTACCTGCAGAAGATTAGGATTAAAATTACAAGTAATGTCCTTATAAGTAGGATTAATCTGAGAAAAAAAAGAATAGGAAAAGTAAGAAACAAAATAGTTTAGAAAATGTTCACCATAGATGCAAATATCATGGTTGCAGATACAGTAGTAGCACCATTACCGCGTGTAGCGACCTAGACAGTGTGCAAAAGGTCAATGAATGCTATCAACTAGCCATCAATGCAGTAAGATCGAGTGAGCTACATACATGTATATCATGTCTGCTATTCCCAAAGCTGTCCCATTATAAGAACTTAGCCATTTAGACCCAATAATTTTGAAATATCAAGTAAATAGCCACAAGAAACTTAAATGTTTCAACAGCAGAAACATGTATATAAGCACTATCTATAGAAAGATTAAGAAGATGATATAAATGCCATAATCAGCATACTTCCGAGAAACCAAAATTTGCTTCTACATTTTATTAAACCCAGATAAACTAGAAAGTTATGTATGCTAGTCCATATTGATCGTAAAATTAAGTGAAATGCAACTTAACCGTCTAGGTTCAAATTCATATATCACCACAGAATTGCTTGACGTTTGAGTAACTTTTTTAATTTGGCTCTGATATGGATAAGCTTTCGTGAAGCAATCTCAAGTGACAAGCCTTCTTATGACATCAGAATGCATCAGCGTTCACTCAAGCAGGAAGTATGCTCATTTGCCATCTTGCCAACCCCCCTTGTACCATGCCCTCCATTTCCTTCCAATCAACATTAGGCCTATGGTTGAAGAGGGGTTGGCAAGATGAGATATCAAAAAATGTTAACAATATAGGTCCTCAAAGTGTGAGTTCTTTACCAGATGAAAACCTTCAAAACAAGCACCATGTCATATCCTTGATCTAGTTGTAACACATCAAACTATCTTTTTTCAATGCACTTCAGTGAACAACATCTGCTTGTTACAAAAGTGATATTGCTTCACATGCATAAATTCTTACTTTTAGAAAAAGCTCAACATGGAAAGGAAAGAGTTCCTCTATTGTTTTCTGAACACTGAATACCCATCTAAAAATCCAGTCTGAAACAGCAAGAAGCACCTTGCAAGGCCTAGGTGGCAAATGGCAAAGTACTACTGTGGGGGAGAAAGCCCCATCAGGGACTCTGAATCTAATGAATACGATATCAAAAAAATTCCTTTCCTGGAAAGAAGATCCAGTAATAAGCAACTAATTAAAAAAATCATTACACAAAGAACTACAATTAATTTCTTTCAGCTTGAGGATCTATGGGGCAACAATCAATTCATATGGCTATTATTCATCAATTAATACCTGGCAGTATAGCAAATGGAGGGATCTGTTTTAGGTATCACTAAATAGTCAGTGAAGCAATAGCTTACTAAACGACTCATCAAAAGCCACCAACACTTCCCCTTTGGACAAAAACCTCAATTTTTATTCTTCAGTGTTTCTGTAGTTGTTGGAAACCCAAACTGAAGAGCAAGTTAGTTAAGATAGGTCCTTTACTAACTGGAATCAGACATTTTAGCTGTGAAGTACCCATGTCAAATCCGAGACTTAATGTAGTCTCATCTCTCTCTTTTTATTTTTTTGTACTGTAGTATGAGGAGATTGAGTGCATCACATCTCCTCCAATTATTTTCTTCTCCACAGCATTCTGTATTCCATTGAGCAGGTATTATGAAGACAAACTCCATCAGCCCCTCCAGTTGCTGTTTGTAAATGGCAGGAGACCATCAAGTTGCATCATTTTCTAAAGAGAAGAAGATGAAAAGCACACAATAGAATTGACATAAATGTTCCTCACTCTTTTATTAAAAAGGCATAGGTTCTCAAGAAGCTAAGGAACAAATGAAAATGTATTGCATCGAAGTGACTTTTATAATTCGTCTGAACCTCTACACTGTACTTTCAAGCTCTTTGTAGCATATCTATGTTTTGTATGTACATATGTAAACATAAATATTAGTTGTACATTTACTAGTGTGCATGTGCATGTGCATGTGCATCTATATAAGTTCTGCTCTTAAATCAAACAAGAAAATAATTCAGCTAAGCGGGGTTTCTGTTACAACATCTAATAGAAAAAATTCATATTTATTATACATGACCAACATTCTTATTTTGGAATATCCGAAGAAGTAATAAAAGATGGAAACATTCGTCCTGTGATCGTCAGATTTGCAATATGCAAAGAGTATTATGAATACAATGTATATGCATCAGTAACAAAAATGCTCACCACATGTGCAATATCCCTACGAGCTGTCTTACGAACTTTCTTTCCCAGTTTAGCCAGCATCTCAAGTTGTTCTGAACTTAAACCTACAAATAAAAAAGTAGAGAGTTGGACAGAAATACTTTTAGTTTGTTTTAACTCATTTCAAAGGCAGACATCCGTGAATGAGATGCAAATAAACTACAATTAGATTGTATTCTCTTTCTGTATCAAAAAAGGGATGAACTCATTTTATTACCCCAGGCAGCAAATGGAACATGAAAAGAAAGAACATGTGAAATAACTATGAAGACCATAAAAGGTAGAACAGGTAAGAGAATGAAGCGCATCCACCATAAATTTTATACCAAAACTTTCACATTAAGAGAAGAAATGTTGTCAAAAGTATAAGTTTTACAGAGGGAATTCTACAAATATTATTTGATTAAATGAACCTGTATCATGACAGAGATAAGCAAATAAAAACGGATTCCACTGCATGGTGAGATTCACAGAAACTTATAAACATGAATGCATTCATAAATCAGCTGAAAAGGGGAGTAAATTATTTCTCAGAAAGTTATGCTACCAAATTTCTAAGCCAAAAAAGAAAGTCCAGTGCTAAAGTTAGTTCATAAGAATAGATACCCTCAAACTGATCCATAATAACACATATACACCTCTAGTGCAATTAGCATTATTTCAAGCCTAAGAAAGATATGTGGTTGAAAACCATGAAAATTTGCACAAGCAAGCAAACTGGCTGTTAAAACTTATCGAAACTTCAAACACAATGTAAAAACACCAGTTGACACTCAAAAGAGTTCAACACATCATAGATCACCTCCTTAAGAAGCAACAAAAAGTAAAATATCCAATGAACAATTAGAAAATACTAAAAACCATATAGTTATTACAGCAGAAATGAAAAGCTTCTGCATAGATTTAGCTCGCCCATAATTTTCTTACTCTCTAGCTACAATTCCTTGTTCTCTCTCTATTACTTATTTCTATTTGCACCTCAGTCTTAGTTCCATCTCTTGATTGATCTATCCTTTAATGCACAGTTAGCATCCCTGATTGAAAAACTTGAACTGCCCCCTTGATATCTGCCAGACAGTGTCCATAGTGGCTTCAAACACAGATAGAACTGGTGCATTTCTACATCACAGGGATACTTCTTTTTCTAGCTCTCCCTTCTACTACTCATTGCTATTTCCTCAACCTACCAAATTTAAGCATGAGCATTGCTAGTGCTTCGTCAGATCCCTTGACTATCTGACCTATGCTATAGTTGTCTCATTGATTGGATGTTGGAAGAGTCATTTCATATGTTCTGTATAATATTAAATTTTTTCTAGATTCATAAGAGAATCTTAATAAAGCAACAATCAACAACACAGAGGAAGTAACATAATTTGGTATGCTAGAAAAAGATTTAGAGGCAAATGTTCAGCCTTTATGTTGCTACAAAAAAAAAAAGGTAGTATAGATAAGCAAAATTCATCATAAATATTAAGACACAGCACCTACGAATGGGGTTCCATCCAAAATTGCAATTGTGGCAGGCACAGCTCCATTATCCCTTACAACAGCCTCTACCTCTTTGGCTACCTCTAAATTGCGGGGATAGGGCATTCCTAAATACAGAACACAAGGATATAGATTACCAAATCATGAAACAAACCACACATACATCCATAAGGAGAATCTACATAAACGCCCAAGTAATAGAACATTTTCGCCTGAATGATATAAAAGTATCTAACGAAAAAATTGAATCAAATAGCAAATAGCGATAGATTATATGTCCTAAACAAAGAAACTCCAAAACAAGATATAACAAAAATGGCATCCTAAACACTACCAAGAATACCTATTGTCTTATTTGTGATACTGTATAAAAAAGAACTAAATATAGCTATTACCCCTTAACTGAATAAAATAACATGCCCAAAAATATAAAAAAAGAAGCTATAATAATACAAGATGCTTATATCACCATATACTTATGCTAATCAAGTGAGTTCAATGTGTGATTCGTAACATAGACAAGATGTATCAGATCACCCAAGACTATAGAACATGCTCAAGCTAATAATAAACTTCATGCGACAATTCTAACGTTTCAACCAACTAGTAATGTCTTAAGATTTCCTGCAATTACAACTAATCAAGATTCAATTTACTTGGAAATCCAGACAATACATTTAAGCAGATCAATTCCACATCTTTTAATCAAACCAAATCATAAAGAGCAATTGTAAACATTGTTTTTTACGTTTAGTGATGCAAAAGCAGTACAGTAAGCTGAAGACTTGCAGCAATAAAACTCATGATCAAGAACCATCAACAGGGCTTTCCACATTCCATATATATTATATTGAGTCTCAATCAAAATCATTTCCACAGAAACTATATATAGCTCAAACAAAATTATAAGGGCGGCTTGAATGAAGCTTATCCATACCATGAGAAATTATAGTGGATTCAAGAGCAACAACTGCTTTACCAAGTGATAAAGCTTCAGAAACTTCAGGAGATATCTTAATTAGCCCACCAAAACCATCTTCACTCCCGCCCTGTGAAAACAACAATTTAATTAATCAAGCATTAATCAACTTAATTAGGTTCACAGTCAAAAGAAGATCAACCGAACCAGAAAAGTCTGAACCTTCGTTACATGGTCCCAATTCCCAAAAATTAAAAAAAAAAATCAGACGAAATCCAAAGATTACAGTCTGCGAATCAAGTGTACGAAACTACCTTTTTGGTGGGATTGATATGGTTGTTGAGGTTTGATAACCGAGAAAGAGCAGATGATTGCATGTTTTGTTGGAGCAGTAGCCAAGAAAATTTTTGTTGAGGAGGACGACTTGAGAGTTTCTACCAGGCTTTGACTGTATGGATTTTATTTTACCGCGCGACGCGCAAGCCAAAGCAGTGGCTGCGCGGGCAGAAAATTACACTGGCGTAAAAAGTAAAAAATGCTCTGAGTGATTGAACTATCTGACATAACCCTGTAATTTCAAATGATAGTGTCGATATGAAACCTTTATGGTGGGAACCTGCCTATAGTAGGAAGGCCGGCAGAAAGCGACACGTGTTGACGTTATATACAGTCCAAACAGAGACGTTAAATTGTTGCATAGTGCGTGAAGAGGAAATATACGAGAATCGTTTGCGGATGCAACCAGAAAGCACACTGACTTCCGTACGAGTTGGACCAGGAAGTGTTATTGCATGTTAAAATCAGAGGCATTTATGCATTTGCAAATGTACCCATTACCAATGGAAAAATATTACAAATGCCTTGGACAAAAAATGTGTGTAAAGAAGGTACCGAAATTTTAAGAAATAATAAATGATTATCGCATACGCGTGGGGGATAATAATTTGGAAGAAGGAAAAGTGGAGGTAAACGAAAGGATTCAAGCCTTCATTATATTTATATACATATATAAATTTAGTACCCAAGTGTTTAGCTTAAGCATCCAGGAAAATGGTCCCATAACTATCGATACGGTAAACGACACAGTTTTAGATATGATATAATAGGTTCTAAAAATTTTAGCGACCATTTGATTACCCATTAGACTTATCCACTTGAATAGGATTATGGGTAAAAATAAGGGAGTAAATTTGTCATTCAAAATAGTAAGTTAATTAGTAACTTTTGCAGTCGAAAAGGTAAATTGTAAGTAATATGAAACATACTTTTTAAAGAGATAAATTACAATAGTATATCCCAAATATACTTTTGAGGGAGTAAGTTTATTTGAAGTAAAAATATGTTTTATACAGAAATAATGAGTTTTAGTTATAACATAGTAAATTTGATTAATGACAAAAACATGCTAATTTATGGCCAGAATATTGTCTTATGCTTAAAAAAACTTATACGAAGCCCATATTTTAGAGTTATTTGAAATAACACAAAAATGTATTATTACTGATTAAAACTGAGTACGTTACTTAGTCAGTACAGTTATTATACTTGTATACATACTTGATGGTATGTGTATAAATAAGCATTTTTGAGATTTATGGGGAAATTGATTTTTTCTTTTGCAGTTTAAAAAAAAGGTAAGCGAAAATCTTTTTTCTCAGAGCACAAAAATCCACAAGTCAAAGTTCTTGGTCTAAAGGGGAAAGAAACATTCTGAATATCATTGTTTACAGTACTAAATAAATTAGATGTAAAATGTTAGTTAAAAACAGGTGCGTTGACATATAATAAAGGAAAGACATAAAGAGCAGGCCATTTACGAGAAAAGTTGTCATTCATAAAAATAGCAACGCTTTACGGTTTTCTTATCAGTCTTGCAACGTATGAGCAAAATGGCAATAATTAAGATAGTATTTTATTCGAATTATACATATTTCATTAATTTTTTTCCATTTAAAAAAATGAATGAGAATCTTTTATGAGAAAGCACATAAGTCAAAGGAATGGTGTAAAAGGGAAAAGAATAGCATATACGTACAGTACCTATAGTTTATGTTCGAAGGACTATAGTGCTATTTTTGAAAAATATCCCGAAAAATATGTAATTGAAACGGAACCGATTCTTCACTATTTAAAATGTCAAATCTGTGATTGTGTTGTAATTGTTATCCATTGGTATCGTAAAGTATCATTTTTCCATAAAATTTCACCTCTTTAACACCAATTTTCCCATAAACCAATTTATTTATCGGATAAAATACATGAAAATTCGGTTTTGAATAAAACAGTAGCTGTTTATAGCTTTCCTCCATTATAAGAACAGAATACCCATTTTTGCATAAACAAATTTATTTATCGGATGAAATAAAAATAAATCCATTGTTCAATAAACTTTTTATGGCTTTCCTCCATTATAAAAACAGAGTACCCATTTCAACCCCTCTAGAAAAATTCCACCTCTTTAACACCAATTTTCCCATAAACCAATTTATTTGTCGGATAAAATACATGAAAATTCGATTTTTCAATAAAATACTAGTTCTTTATGGCTTTCCGCCATTATAAGAATAGAGTACCCATTTTTACATAAACAAATCTATTTATCGGATGAAATAAAAATAAATCCATTGTTCAATAAAACACTAACTCTTTATGGCTTTTCTCCATTATAAAAACTGAGTACCCATTTTAGCTTCTCTAGAAAAAAAATCTTGGCTTTGTCACTGACTGAAATGTTTGTAACTGAGATTTATCCTTAGTGAAAAAATGTATGATACGTAATTTTTTCACTGTATTGAATTTATATGATGGCAAATTAAATGGGTCAATTGGATTAGTGTGCAGCAGTTTTGTGAATGATTCCAAGAGTAAACTATATTATGGCAATAAAATACATTGAATTGTGAAAATTATAATTTCAACATGCTCCTAAATTTTGGATATGTGACTTTCGCTGTTGCGAATATCTTAAATTAACAGTTAGTTATTACTATGAGTAATGTGGTAAGTGTGAGATGTGAATGTCAGAAATAACTGTTAGTTAATACTATCAGTAAAGTCAGCAGTAAATGTGAGATGTTAATTGGAATTTACAGATATTAATTTGACATGGTTGGTTATTATCTGTTAGTTAAAATTTGGGAGTTTTAATTTTATTGGTTAGTGGGGAAAATATGAGGGAAATGTGGGAAAAACATGAGCACGATTATAGGATTTGTACGAGCAGTTAAAGGATTAGTTGTGAGATAAACATTTCTTAATTTTAGAAATGCAAAATTGTAATAAAATAGTATTCGAACTTTTGACAATTTGAAAAGCTCCTTACCTAAAATTCTCTCTGCAATACATATAGACAGATATAGATGTCTTTTTTTTTAGTGGTTGAATGCCATATTCGCGAACTATCTGCAGAAAAAAATAAATTTGTAGACTAAACTAATTTTGTTATACCAACTCTGTTATTCTTATTATTGTATTAATTGTTATGCTATTTTTCTCATTTTGTTAGGTCTACATTACTACAAGTTTAATTCCTATTATGTCTCGTGTCCCAGAAAATACATATTATCCTATTCAGGTGGATACGTCCAACTGATAATCAAATTGATGCTAAAAATTTAGAATGAATAAGTTGCTTTTGCATAATGGTTGGAAAGGTTTCTTGAGACTTTATGAATGAGGTGTCTTGCGTTTGCCAAAAGAATTTGTAGCATATTTTTGTATTGGAAATGAAGTTAAAACTTGCTATGGGTTACTTTTCTGTATTTCAATTTCATCGTAAAGGGTAATTTGTTGTTCAACCTAATTTCATTCTAATTTTATCTAACTAATAAATTAACGTATGAAAATAGATAATTTATGGAGGAAAGCCATAATTAGCTGGTGCTTTATTGAAAAATGGATTTATTTTTATTTTATCCAATAAATTCTTTTATGCGAAAATGGGCTATTTGTTCTTATAATGGAGAAAAGTCATAAAAAAGCTAGTGTTTTAATAGAAAACAGGTTTATTTTTATTTTATTCGATAAATACACTTTTTAATGGAAGGTAGGTACTGTGTTCTTATAATGAAGGAAAGTCACAAAGAGCTAGTGTTTTATTGAAAAATAGATTTATTTTTATTTTATTTTATCCACAAATTTTGTTATGGTACTTTGTTCTTATAATGGAGAAAAGTCATAAAAAACTAGTGTTTTATTGAAAAATGGATTTAATTTTAGTTTAGCCGATAAATAAATTTTGTTTATGCAAAAATGGGTACTCTGTTCTTATAATGGAGGAAAGTCATAAAGAGTTAGTGTTTTATTGGAAAATGGGTTTATTTTTATTTTATTCGATAAATAAATTTTTTTGTTTATAAATGGGTACTCTGTTCTTATAATAGATGAAAACCATAAATAACTAGTGTTTTATTGAAAAACGGGTTAATTTTTATCTTATTTGATAAATAAATTTTTTTATGAAAAAATGGGTACTCTGTTCTTATAATGGAGGAAAGTTACAAAGAGCTAGTGTTTTATTGCATAAAAGATTTATTTTTTTTCATCCAATAAATAAAATTTTTAAGGGAAAATGGGTGTTAAAAAGGTGGTATTGGATGAAAAAATGATACTTTAGAATACCAATGATAACAGTTAAAACACAATCACAGATTTGGTATTTTAAATAATGAAGAATCGGTTCCGTTTGCATTACATATTTTTCGGGGTATTGTCAAAAATAACACTGTAGTCCTTCGAACGTGAAATACAAGTACTGTACATATCTGCAATCCCTTTCCCTTTTAGACCAATCCTTTTGACTTATGTGTTTTTTGATAAAAAATTTCAATTATTTTTTTTATTTGTAAAAAATAAATTAATTCTGTATAAATCGAAAAAATTACTATTTCAATTATTGGCACTTTGCTCATGCTTTGGAGGACTGGTAAAAAAGCCGTGAAGAGCTGGAATTTTTATTAATGAAAACTTTTTCCATAAATGGCCTGATTTTTATGACTTTCCTTTATTATATGTCAAAGTACCAGTTTTTAACCAGCATTTTACATCTATTTATTTGGTGCTTTAAACAATGCTATTCAGCTGTATCTTTCCCTTTCAGACCAACTATTTTGACTTGTGGATTTTGGTGCTCTGCGCAAAAAAAAATTCGCTTACTTTTTTTTTAAAACTGCAATAGAAAAAATTTAATTATGTATAAATTTCAAAAATACTAATTTTTTCACATACGATCAAGTATTTATACAAGTATATTAACATTACTTACTAAGTAAGGTACTCAGTTTTAATCATTAATAAAACATTTTAGTGTTATTTTAAATAACAATAAAATATGGGCTTGGCATAAGGTTTTTAAGTATAATAGAGAATTTTTGCCATAAATTAGCATGTTTTTGTCATTAATGAAATTTACTATGTTATAAGTAAAAATGATTATTTATGTATAAAAACATACTATTACTTCGAATAAACTTACTCCCTCAAAAGTATATTGAGGATAAAAATTGTAATTTATCTCTTTAA